GCAGCCCGTGGCCAGGAGCATCCCTGTCCTGTGCCCCCTGCTCCTGGCATCAGCTCTGCCAGGGGGGCTGAGCCCGGGGCCTGGCTGGGAGATCCCTGTGGGTGTGTCACTGTGATAGTTTATGAAAATCCCTTCACTAGGATTTTTTCTCCTGAGAAGCTGAGAAGCCTCAGAGGAAAAGAAAAAACAATAATTATCTGCTGCTGTGGAATGCAACAGGTGCATCTTTGATGGGTCCATGTGGGTTGTTTCTACTTAATGACCAGCCATGGTCCAGCTGTCTTGGACTCTCGGAGAGTCACGAGCTTTTGTTGTCATTCCGTTCCATTCCATTCCATTCCATTCCATTCCATTCCATTCCATTCCATTCCATTCCATTCCATCCCATTCCATTCCTTTTCCTTTCTACCTTTCTGTCTGTGTCATTTTCTCTATTCTTTTAGTATAGCATTTTTAATACAATATAATATCATAAAATAATAAATCAGCCTTCTGAAATATGGAGTCAAGATTCTCATCTCTCCCTCATCCTGGGACCCTCACACACAACCACAGGGCTGGGAGGGCACATCCCAGTGCCTGCCTGAAGCCCTGCTTTTTCAGGGATTGGGAAATGTGCTGTTGATGTTCTCCAGCCCCACGTTGGGCGCCAGGCTGTCACGATGAGGACTTTGTCACAGCTTTGTGACAACTGGGGCGCCACAGACTCCGCCTTGCAAGCTCTGCAGAATCCCAGCTACCGCCTGGGGTTGGGCACAGGAACAAAAGGCAGCAGCACGGGTCTTGGGGTGAGACTTGGGGCTCATGATCAGCACCCAAGACCCACCCGTGGGGCTAACGAGCTTTCATACCTCGCTCGGGAGGAGGGGTTTAGGGTAGCAAACCAATAGGGGATGGTTGGGGAGGGTTGGAGGCAGGGTACTTTGCTCTTGAAGCTATAAAGGAGCACTAGGGAGGGGAATAACTTGGGTAATAGGGTCCCAAAGGACACAAAATAGGGAATTCTCCAGAAGAAGGGGCAGGTTTGGGGGAGGATTAACACCCAGTGGGAGTGGGGGGGAAAGGGGGATTCGGGGAAAAAGGGCAGGGATAGGAGGGATGGACAGCTGGGAAGGTGGGGGTTTAAAACTCGGTAGGGAGAGGCATAAAGGGATTGCAAAATCACAAATCGAACAGCAAGCAAACCAATAAAATTTTAAAAAAAAACCTCACTAACAGTGATTCATGGGAGAGCTGCAGCCCCGCTCGGCACCCGCGGGCGCTCGGAGCCGCCAGACGCGCACGGCGCAGCTCCGGCTGCCAGGGAACGCCCAGAGCCGGAGCCTCGCCGCACACACACCATTTATTCTGCTCTGAAATGTTAAAAAAAAATCCTGAAGTGCTTTTTATTGCCGCAAATTATCATATTCGGCATTAACATATTCATCAGCTTGGCTGGCCGGGGTGTTCTGCTGTTCCTGCTGGGGCTGGTGCTGGCAGCGCTGCCTGAGCTTTGTCCCTGCCTCTTGTCTCAGCCTGGAAACTGCGATTGTAAATTATTTTGGCCGGGGATAAACTGGCCTAAATAATTTGCTTCTGCAGCGCTGAGCCACGGTGGCCTCTGGGTCTCGGCTGAGCCTTCTGGAGGCTTCTAAAAATAAGGAGTTCTAAGCTATTATCTTTTAAAATACTTGGGAAAAAGAGGGGGCAAGGCGAGGATCCTTCCACAGCTGTTTTGGCCTCAAACTGCCAAGAGTTATTTTTTTAAAAATGTGTTTTCTTGATCAGTTCTCTCCATAGCCTTTCATTAAAAAAGGGCTCACAAATTTAGGACGGGTGTTTTGTACTTCCACAGCAAAAATAATTTGAAAACCACCAGTAACTTCTAAAATCCAAACTACCAGTAATAAAATCCCAACACATCCCAGCACAGCCCAGAACAGCCCATAACCTCCCAGCCCATCCCTGCACACCCCAGCACACCCCAGTCCATCCCAGTACCCCCCAGTACCCCCCAGCCCACCCCAGTGTGCGGGGGCCATTCCGGGCAGGCCGGGTTGTGCAGCCCAGCAGGGCAGGGCTGCTCCCCGTGTTTGCTCCATGCCAGCCCCGTGCCAGGCCGTGCTGGGCAGGCAGCGTGACGGGGTCACAGAGCACCTGGGCACGCCAGGTAAACACAGCAGGGACAGGCTCAGGCCGTGCCCACACTCAGCTCCTTCCCGCTTCACAGCGCTGGGAAATGCAGCAGTAAATCATGTTTAAAGGGGCAAAGTCTCCATTATTCCCTCCGCCAGTGCTCTGGGGGAGTGGGAGCTGCCTGGGAATGCTGTGCCAGGGACGACCCAGGTAGAAAATACTGGGAGCACAAGGGAAATGCTCCATTGCAGCTTAAAGGCGAGTATTTCTTTCCCAGAGTACCAAAGTTATTCCTGCAGCACAAAGAAGAAGAATTGACTTCTGTAAATCCCTTGAAAAACTGACTTCTGTAAATCCCTTGAAAAATTGACTTCTGTAAATCCCTGGAAGTGCCCAAGGGCAGGTTGGATGGGACTTGGAGCAATTTGGGATGGTGGAAGGGGTCCCTGCCATGGCAGGGGTGGAATGAGGTGAGTTTTAGAGTCCCTTTGATGGCCCCCAGCCCAAACCTGTCTCGAAATCCTTTTCACAGACACAAGACAGGGAAATCCATTGGGGCATTGGGAGGGGATGCTCAGAATGGTCCAGGGATGGCTCCAAGCTGGAGCTGCAGTCATTCCATGGAATGGATGGAGAGGATGGCAGCGAGGGAACCACCAAAACCAACACAGCCCAGGGGGAAGGAAAGGCAGAAGTCGTGGATGGAGAGCACACAGGTTCATTTGGGAAGGACCTACTGCCTCCTAATGACCTGAAATAAACCCACCCAGTCCCCGTCTCCAGGGAAACTCCTTCCTTCAAAGCGCTTCTGATGGAATTTGCCTCCAGTTCCTGAGCTCTCTGCTGGTTTGGAACACACCAGTCAAGGCTGGAGGGCTGCAGGTGAGAAACCAGCTCTGCCTTTGGCAGCAGGGGACAGGCAGAGCTTCTGTCCCCTCCCTGGGGACACCTGTGGCACCTTTACTGTGAGAATGCAGAACAAACCCAGCAGCTTTTGGTGTTCCTTGTCCTCCCTGGGCAGGGCAGAGCTCAGAGCAGCCACCCAGGCTGAGGGCACCTTACAAACCCTGCCCCAGGCTGGCAGAGCCGTGCTGGGCCACAGAACTGTCCCAAAAACAAATATTCCTGCACTGGACCCCGAGCAGGGCATGGGACATGCCTTTGGTGGTTGACAAGAGGAGAGAGAAGCATTCTGTCAGCCGGGCCCTGCGTGAGAACCGGCAGAGGAAACCTAAGCCGCGAAACATTAAAGTTCCAAAATTAAACCCTTGTTTACGTAACGACTGGGTCACTGCTGTGGAACACGGCGCTTTGAACCAAAAAAGGCCCTTTCCAGGGGCCCTGCTCTCTGCCAGGCCTCCCCCTGCCCTGTGCAGGGACAGGGACCTGGAGCACTCAGCTCCTCACCCTGCTGCTCACAACACCTCTCAGGGCTGGGAATCCTCCTCGGCGCCCTTCCCCAACTGCCCTTCCCCAACTGCCCTTCCCCAACTGCCCTTCCCCAACTGCCCTTCCCCAACTGCCCTTCCCCAACTGCCCTTCCCCAACTGCCCTTCCCCAAACTGCCCTCCCCCAACTGCCCTTCCCCAACTGCAACCGCCCTTCCCCAACCTCCCCTCCCCAAACTGCCCTTCCCCAACTGCCCTTCCCAAACTGCCCTTCCCCAAACTGCCCTTCCCCAAACTGCCTTCTCCCCCTCCCCTTCCACGAACACAATCCACCTGCAAGGCACCCAGCTGGCTTTGGGGGCTTTAACCAGGCTGGAAACTGCATTTGGGGCTGTCCCTGCAGAGCCACGGGCAGGAGCTGATGCTCCCGTGGGTCCCTTCCAGCTCAGGATGTTCCAGGGTTCAATGGGGTTTTTCTCCTTGAAATAAGGAGTAAAACTGTCTGCAGCCTCTACAGAAAACAGTGAAATGTCCCTGCTGCTTCAGCCTGGCTAATTACAAATATAACACAGCAGACTAAAAATAAGAAAATTTAAATGCAAAATATAAAAAAAGAACTTTATGGGGCTTCCCCCCTGCAGTGTCTTTAAAAAGCCTTCTAAAAAGCCTTTTACCACATAGCTAAACACACCTTTATTTATTATTTTTTAAGAAAAGGGAAGAAAAGAACTTAATCCAAACTAAATATTTAAGCAAACAGCAATTAACTAACAATGATGAATGGTAAACAGTCCCAGTCCCACGCTAGGCCGGGACTTTAAAGCCCGTTTATCTAAGCTAAAGCTGCTCAAGGGGAAAAGCAAGTTTATTGAGCAAACTTTGTCTCAGCCACCTTGCTATTAAAACAGTCCACAAACAGAACCTGCATCATATATTCTGGGAGGAAAAAAAGGAGCGAGAACAAAACAGCCCATGGCATGGGAGTTCCAATGCTGTGGGGAGCAGTTATCCCTAAGGAGGAAAACAGGGAAAATACGAAGCTGTGAAGCAGCTCCTTCCTTGGAGCCTTGGGGTAAAACAGGAAGAATGAGAGACCTTAAATTCCACCCGATGTTCCCATTTGGCCTGGGGCTCTCATTCCCACTTTTCCACTGGGAAGGAGGAGCCTGAGCAGAGTAGCCTGAGATTTTATCCACTTGGATCCTTTATTCAAATGTAACACTAACTATTATTATTATTATTATTATTATTATTATTATTATTATTATTACTATTATTAGTATTGCTACTATTGCTATTATTGCTATTATTGCTACTATTCGTACTATTGCTATTATTGCTATTATTGCTATTACTATTACTATTACTATTATTACTATTACTATTATTTAAATTTGAATATAACATAATTATGATATCATTATCATTATTAGCATTATGATAATTAGCATTATCACCATTATCATTACCATTACTATTATTTCCAGTATTCCTATTCATTATTATTCCTATTGACATTATAATAATCATCAGCAGCATTATCATGATTTTAAATCATCTTCCTCACTCCGGACTGGGGCGGGGCCATGCCTGACCCAGGCCAGTCCCTCCCTCGGGCCCGGGGCTGCAGGGGGGGGTCCCGGCCCCTGCGAGGAGCTGGGGAACAAGGGGGGGGCAGGACGGGGGTGGGGACGTGGGGGTGAGCAGGGGATGTGCTGGGAATGCAGGAGATGAGAAGGGGATGCAGGGGATGAGCAGGGGATGTGAGTGGGTCGTTCTGTGCCTCTTACTCGAGTGGTTGTTTCTCCCACAGGGATGTGCAGGGGGGATGCAGGAGATGAGCAGGAGATGAGCAGGGGGTGCAGGAGATGAGCAGGGGGTGCAGCAGATGAGCAGGGGTTGCAGGCAGGGGATGCGCACAGGAGGCGCGGGGATGCAGTGGGATGTGCGCAGGGACGCAGCTCGATGTGCGCAGGATGTGCGCAGGGACGCAGCAGGAGGTGCGCGGGGATGTGCGCAGGATGTGCGCGGGATGTGCGCGGGGATGCAGCGGGGCGAGCGCGGGGATGCAGAGCGATGTGAGCGCGGGTGCGGCGGGGACGCGGCGGGGCGAGCGCGGGGCCGCGGCGGGGCGAGCGCGGAGATCCAGCGCGAGGTGCGCGGGATGTGCGCGGGGATGCAGCGCGACGTGCGCGGGCTGTGCGCGGGGATGCGGCGCGACGCGCGAGGGATGAGCCCCGAGATCCAGCGCGACGTGCGCGCCGTGTGCGCGGGGATCGAGCGCGACGTGCGCGGGATGTGCGCGGGCTGCGCTCGGGCCGTGCCCGGCCCCGATCCCCCCGCTCCGCGCCCCCGGTACTCGCCTGGCGCAGCATCCCCGGCCCGGGGCGCAGCGGGGCCGGGGGAGCCCCCCGGGCCCTCCTGGATCCCTCGCGGGGCCAAGGTCACCCCGCGGCGGCTGCAATTCCCAGGAGGAGGCGAAACACCGGGAAAAGGCCCGGGGGGAGCGGGGCAGGAGTGAGGGGTGCGCTCCAGACCCCTCCCAGCCGCCTTTCCCCCCGCATTTTCCTCTTCTTCCTCATCGGATGTCCCATCCCGGGGGATGACGGCGCAGCCTTTGAGAATCCGGCACAAACAGACGCGGATCTATTTCGGGATTAAAAAAAAAAAAGAGAAAAGCAGCATGAGGAGGAATAAATGTCTGACGGTCGGGTTTGAAGTGCTGCGTGCTCCTCGCAGGGCTGCACCACTGCTCATCTCCAGAGCACCTTCCAGGACCTCCGCAGTCATTAGCGGGTGTTCTCCTCGCTCCCTCTCAGGAGGCGGTGGGATAATCATTCCCCATTTAACGCCTGGGAAGCTTGGCACAGCGCGCATTAAGCGATTTGCTGACAGGCGCACAGGAAAATTGCGCCAGTCAAGCGTTCCCCCAATTATGCCATCCTTGGAACTGCATAATTTCCCTGCGTGATTCCAAACACGGCTCAGACTCCCCGGGCAGGGCAGGGCTTCATCTCTGCGGAGCGTGAGGCTCAGATCAGCGGCAGGACCCGTCCGTGTCCCCCGGGGCTCCTCGGGGCTCGGACCCGCAGCTCCGGGTCACCGCACAGGTATCGCCCGGGGGGCACCCGAGAGCTCTGCGGAGGCCGAGGGACGCTCAGCTGCCCGGGGGTGCCGCACAAAGCCCCTCTCCAACCTTCCCCTTCAGCCCCGCGCCCGCAGGATTCCGCAGCCCAGTGGAAATTCCCCGGCGGTGCCAGCGCTGGGGCCTCCGGGGAGCGGCAAAAACCTCCCTGGAGCCAGCCAGGAGCTGGGGCTGTGCCACCGGGAGAGCATTCCGGCCGGCGGGAGGGAGCCTGTGGAGCGGGGGGTCTGGGGGAGCCGGGGCTCCGGGGAGCCGGGGGTCCGGGGATGGAGCCCCGCGCCCGCCCCGCGCTTCTCCCGCTCCCCTGCCCTCGTTCCGACGGGCTCTGCCCGCCCGGCCTCCTAATCTGCGCTAAGTGGGACTGCCGATGAGCGCCGCGATAAATTTAGAAAGAAATCTTTGTGTGGGTCAGAGGGAAAACGCGGCGGGGGGAAGCCGAGCGGCCCGGCCCGGCTCGGCTCGGCCCGGCTCGCTCCCAGCCGCGTTTCTCATCCTCGCTGCCCAAGCTCGGGGGTGGGCCAGACCCTGCTGGAGTTGGTGAGCCAAGGATGCCTCGGTTTTAAAGATTTTTCAGTGATTCAGTGGGAAAGGAGCGGGAGGAGGCAGCGCTGCCCCGGCTCCGAGCTGACATTTCAGCCGGAGCCTCTTAAAGAGCAAGTTTGCCTTGCCCGGGATTTGTTTGTAAGCAGGGAAAGCAGTTGTTCTTAATTCCTCTCTCGGGCTCCTTCCCAATCGCTTTTCTTAATCTCTTAAATTGTTTTAAAACAACAACAACAAAATAATGGCATTAGCGGTGCGAAATCCCCCGTGAAATCAGCAGCACAGCCCCACGTCCCTCTCTAAAATCGGAACGTTTCTAACTGTTCTATCATTTGTTGGTGAATTATATTGTACCAGAGAGAGGAGAGGAAAGGAATTTTCTGAATGTATTTCCTTTAATAAGCTATTAAGACCTTGTACTGCTAATTAAACTATTAATTAGACGTCTTATCGTTCCTAAACACGTTAGCATGTTGCCAAAGCAGCAACAAGCCTCTGGGGCAGGCAGGAGATAAGGAGAGAAGGAAGATGCAAACATGAAGATTAAAAAAAAAAAATGAAGAAAAAAAAATATCAAAAGGACCAGAAATAACAAATAAATAACTAAGAGTCAGAAGGGTGATGTATTCTTAATTTACAGGAATAAAAAATAAGTAACTTGAGAACCAATTTCCTATTGGATAGGAGCCCTTGGGGCATCTGTGTCTTACACAGGACAAAAAGGGACAGGACTTTTCAGACCTTGGTTTTTCTGCAGTCAGAGCAGTGGAACCAGAAGTGGAACCCATCTTCCCCAACACCAGGAATTGCCAGTGGAAAATTAACAGAAAAACTATTCAAAATTTGTGGGGTTTTCCCTCTCCAGGAGAAAAACACAAAGGATTTTCAATAAGAAGACCTTACCTCCAGGGAATTTCTGCATCTGGCTCCACACTGGCCCACAAACAGCACCCCTGGCTCGCCCATCCTTGTCTGTTTTAAGTTAAAAAAGAACATTTCCAGCCTCACAGCGCTTGGGATGCTCTTGGCACTGGGAAGGTGTTTCCCTCTGCCCCTGGGGCTCCTTCAGGATCAGGAGGGGTCAGGGGACAGCTCTGCTCTGACCTCTGCCCATCCCGGGGGTTCCAGCACATGGAAAAGTTTCCAGACCCCAATTCCTCAGCATTTTTCTCCGACAGTCGATCCCAGGGGTGGATAATCTCATTTACCTTTGCTCCTTCAAATCAAACCAGCAGTGAATTAAATGGATCTGAGGGCCCAGATTAAAGCTCCAAACACATGGGAAGTGCCTGTGATGCAAAGAGCTGTAAATATAATTATTTTTTTTAAGGGGAGGTTGGAAAAGCCCTACACGGATGCTGCTCTTTTACCTGGAATGCCAAGACAGGATCATGGAAGAATTAAGGCTGGAAAAGACCTCAAAGATCAAGTCCAGCCACTAATCCAACACTGCCAGGCTCACACCATGGCTGGAAAAAAAATCAAAATGAGCTTGATCATCACCCTTTTCCAGCTCTGGAGAACACCTTTGTGGCCAGCTGATGGTGGCTGAGGTTCAGGCTGGCTCAGAGGGGCTGAGCCCAGGGCAGCGCTGGCTCCAAGGCTGGGATTTCAGGAATTCCTGGCCCCTCTGATGCTCGTCCAGATTCTTTTCCTGAGGTGGGACACAAGACATCACCAGAGCCCCTGAATTCCCGGGGTCAGAACAAAAATCCTGCGTGGTCTTGCAGGGGATGGAGCAGCAAAACTGGGAGAGCTCCCACAGAAAAAAAACCAAAAAAACCCCACGAGATCTGACAGTGAGCACGCAGATCGGAAAGACATGGATGTGAAAGCCAGAAACGCCACGGTGGATGCTCCCTGTTATAAATGACACTCCCCCTTCCTGGAATTTGAGCTCCAAGTCCCTCTGTTCTCATTATTCTGTAATTCCAGGGTTTCCCCGATCCCGGGGCTGGATTGCGGCACCGCGGGCTCTGCCCCGGGGCAGGAGCCGCTTTTTGGGTATTTTTGTTTTGAGATGGGTCTGCTTTGGGTCTGCTTTGGGTGTTGTTGTTGCCAGGGCAGCGCTCCCCGAGCTGCAGCTGCCCGCTGGAACCTGCTCGGGCAGAGCGCGGCCGGCAGAGAGCAGCATTGGAGCGCCAATGAGCAAAAATGGGCAAAAAATGGGCAAAACCGAGCAAAATGAGCAAAAATGAACACAAATGAGCACAAACGAGCACAAGCGTGCACAAACGAACACAAATGAGCAGAAGTGTGCACAAGTGTGCACAAATGAGCGAAAATGAGCAAAAAATGAGCAAAAATGAGTACAAATGTGCACAAGTGTGTACAAATGAGCACAAATGCACACACATGTGCACAAGTGTGCGTCCCGTGCTGCCCCCAGCCCTGCGGGATGCTCGGGGCTCTCACAAAACGGGAAATCAAAACACAGCAAACACAGCAAGGAGCTGCTTTTCCCCAGCCCGGGATGGGCAAAAAGTGCTTGGGCAGGCTGGGGAATGGACACAGACACGGCATCCAGTGGCAGTGCTGCATCTATTTCTACTTCTATTTCTACTTCTACTTCTATTTATATTTATATTTATTTTTATTTTTATTTTTATTTTTATTTTTATTTTTATTTTTATTTTTATTTTTATTTTTTATATTTTATTTTTATTGTTTATATTTATATTATTTCCATTTATATTTTTATTTCTTTTTTTTTTTGTATTTGTATTTATATTTATCACCTTGTATCCCCCCTGTTCCTCCCCAGAGGAAGTTTTCATGCCAATTGTTTTCCTCTGGAGGGTCCCTTTCAATATGAGGCTCCCCAAGCTGAAGACTGAGCTGAAGATCGTGTGGGAGCAGAGTGTGAGCTCATGAGCCAGGTAGGAGCACTTGCACCAGCCTTGAACGCCGCAGATGGGAAATCAGGCTGCTCTAGGGAGCTGAAATGGACTCAGAGCCCCCAAAATGACCCCAAAAAAGCAGCTGTGAGTGAGGCTGCAGGGGACGGCGAGAGGAGGGGGCAAGGAAGGAATGCAAGGGGGCTGATAAGGAAGGAATAATAAGAAAAACCTTTCTGCCCTGGCCAGGGCTGTTTACACACAGGCAAAAAACTTCCTGAGCTGGGAGTGCAGCCTTTCCCAGCCCTTTTTTTCCAGCCTTTTCCAGCCTTTTCCGCTGGCTCAGCAGCGGCCCCGCTCCCGGCATTTCCCTCAGTCTGGCTTTGGAGGAGCCTTTTGTTTTGCCGGAGCACTTGACTGTAACTTTATTGTCCCTGCCTGGCCGCAGGACATTCCCTGAGCTGTGAAAAGCGCACCTGAGGGCTGATGAGATCCGCAGCTCCCGGGGCTGGTTGGAGAAACGCCTGCCAGGAGAAAAGCTCCCTGCCCCAGCTCCCGGGTTCAGCCAGCCTTCCCTGGCAGAGGAATTTGCTTTTCCTGCATCTGTTCCCCTCGCAGCCGGGCTGCCGGAGCTCAGGCTGCCCCGAAACCCGAGCAGGGCCCGGGGAGGGTCCCTGGTGTGCCCTGCCAGGGGAGCAGCCCTGGGGAGGGTCAGGCATCCCGGAGAGGAGAGGGAATCAGGGGAGATCCCTGTTCCCAAAGCTCCTGCCTGGAGTGCAGCGCCAGCATCTCCACGAGAGAAGGCACCAAAGACTTCCCTGCGTCCCCACTGTAAATTTTTGGGGCAGGAAATGTTGCTGGTTACTGCAGAGGGAGGGAATCCCAGCACCCCCGAGGCTGGAAAATCCCTCCAGGACCATCCATCCCCACCTTGTCCCCAGCCCGGAGCACTCAGTGCCACCTGCAGGTGACACCCCAAGGGATGGGCACCCCAAACCCTCTGGGCAGCCCCTGCCAAGGCCTGGCCACCCTTCCCATGGAGAAATCCCTGCTGATGCCCAGCCTGCCCCTGCCTGGCACAGCTTCATTTTCCCTGGGTGTCTCAAACATCCAAACAAACAAATCAAACGCACGAGGTGTGACAGCCTGCTGCACGTCACTCATCCTGCAGACGATTTTTTGGGAGGGGAACGTGCTCAGAGCAAGCCAGAGCCTTTAGTCATGGGATTTCTGCTGGGAAAGAACCTCTCGGTGAGGCGTTGTCCCCCCGCCCTGCTGGCAGCAGCCAGAGCCACACATCCCGCAGGGACGAGCACGCTGCTGCTCCGAGGACACAGCGGAGAAGCCGGCTTTTAGTACTTAATTATTTTTCTTTTTCAACCGGGATTATTTACAATGAGATCTGCAAGGAGCAATTCACACCAAAGCAAACAGCCTGGAATATTTTAATTGTGTTGAAGCGACTCTTGCACCCACAAAAAAACAGCCCCAGGTGGTGGTGGATGCTGCTGTCGTTGCTTTGAGCACTGTACCAGAAAAAAACCCCTCCCTCAGGTGTTCAGCACTGAGAGAAGGTTGGGATGAACTCACTCCTGAGAGGGCAGATCAGCTCCAAGGGCCATTTTTGGGTTTATTTGGGGTGTGGAGGTCGCTGCTGGTGCTGGTGTTGGACAGCACCCTCCTGGGCTGGCACCAGCAGCACGGGGCTGGCACAGTCCGGGCTTTGGCTCCCTAAAAATGTGCTTGGGATGGGCAACAAACCTTCCCTGAGTCCCTGGCTCCCACTGAGAGCTCAATGGGGCTCCAGCAGCGCTTCCCTGGGGAGCAGGATCAGCAGAGAGAGGGGCCAGACCTGGACCTGCTGCTCCTGCTCCTGCTTTTGTTTCTGTTTCTCTCCTGCTTCTGCTGCTGCTCCTGTGCTTGGGATTTCCACAGTGAAACCCTGCTCTGTGTCCCTGTCCCTGCTGCTGTGCAGAGACAGGGACTCTGCCCTTTGCAGAGCTGGGGGTTTGCCTCCACTCATCCCTCTGGGAGCCCTTGGGCACCTCTCTGCCCAAATTCCTGCCCCAGGTGCCAGGGGGAGAGTGCCCAGCCCCAGGCACCCTCAGAGCCCCTCAGCCCTGCCCAGAGCTCTCCATCTCCCTCAAGGGATGAGCTCTGCCAGCCACAACCCCCAGCCCCTGGCAGGAGGAGGCTGGGGAAGGTTTTTTCCCCTCTAAAAAAACGTTCAGGACACAATCCTAGTAGGATTCGAAGAGAAAAAGTTGACATTTCGCCTGCAATTCCATGTGGAAAGTTTTACACACAGCTTCAGCAAATTCTGCTGGAGTAGGGAATAGTAGAGGAGCCCTAAAGACAGAAAGGGGTTAAATGCCTGGTGGCCTCAGAAGAGGAAGAAATCCTGCACTTAAACATAAAGATGAGATTATAAACAACTCTGTTAACCAAAACTATCTGAAACCTGAGAGGCTTTTGTCACTGCAATCCCAATTTCACTACTTCGGTCAGCCTAACATATTGCTACCAGACATCTGGGCTGCCTGGAGCCAAACTCTGCCTGAAATCTGGGGAGGCCAGAGGGCACCGGCATTTGTCCTGGTGTTCTTCCGACAACAAAGGCAGAGAACAGCTGCAAAAATTGTCCTGTGTGTTCAGCGGGAGGAGGAGGATGAGGAGGAGGAGGAGAAGGAGCTGCTCTTGGGCAGCTTTGGCTCTCCAGGTGGTTTAGGCTGGCTTTGGAGTCCTTCACAGAGACAGTGAGACACAGGAGGTCTGAAGGAGATCCCCTGCGGGCCCGGGGAGATGTCGCTGTCACATCTCGGTGTCGGCGGGGCTGTGCTGCCGGCCGTTCTTGGAGCCCGTCCCGTTCTCCTGCGCGCCCCCGTTCAGGTTCGGCTTCTCCTGCAGCTCCGCCGGCTCCTGGGACGGCGACATCAGCATGGTGTTCCCCTGGCTGCCGTTCTCCGTGTAGTAGGGGTCTTCAGCCTGGGGGCACAAGGGACAGAGTCAGGGAGGGGAGGGGGAAAGGTCCCTGCTGTCCCCAGGCAGGAGGGACAGACAGACACAGCTCAGGGCTGCTGGCAAGAAGGGGAGCAGAGGCTCTGAACCAAGGTGGAGCAAGAAAACCACCCAGGAGCTGCACTTTCCCCTCCAGCACCTGCAGGAGAAGATTTTTTGCCAGGTTTTGTTGTTTTCTCCCAATCAAGTTTTGGAGCTGACCTTGCCTTGGGGCAGAACCTTTGCTGGCCGCTTTGGCCAAGGAAGAATCACAATTGAATGGAAATGATGGAAATTGTCTCTTTTCCTTCCCCTCCCCGTCCTTTGAAGTGCAGAGCTCGCTGCCAGGTGTGGCAGAAGTGCAGAACTGCAGCTCTGGGTGCTGCTGTTGCTGCGAGGAGGAGCAGGTGCCTCTGAGGACCCAGCGCCCCAAGAGAACTCCCCAGACGTTGTGCAGCCCTAGAACCAGCAATCCCAGGTGGCAATTCCCAGCTGGAATCCCCTCAGCAGCCGGGCTGGAGTTCACTCAGTCCCTTTTCCATGGGCGGGCTGGACACTCCTCACCTGGAGCTGGGCTTGGCACTGCCAGGGGGTCCCGTGCCACACGCTGCCACTGCTGCCAGCCCCAGGGGCACCAGGCAGTGTCCCTGCCTCTGACCCAGCTCTGGGGACGTCCTTCCTGGGCAGGAATTGCCCCGATGGCCTCCAGGGCACAGCTGGGCAGTGGTGGGGGAATCGTGGCCCAGCCTCGCTTTACACAGGGTCACATCCCCAAAAATCACCAGAGGGGAGGAGTCCTCAGGGTGAATGGAAATAGGAAATTTCTGCCTCTTTCTTTCTTGATATGTTTTATTACCATGGCTGGTGGGGAGAAATTGCCTTTATTGCAGCACGGGTACAGACACAGGGCTCACACAGGAATGGGAATTAAGGGAGTCACTGCTCAGGACAGGCTCATGAGGGGCTCTGGAGGGCTCTTGCTGGATGAGCTCTTACTGCTGAGCAAAAAGAAGTGTCAGACGTGTGGGAAAGGGGCCGTGCTGGAAGTGTCAGACCTGTCAGACGTGTGGGAAAGGGGCCGTGCTGCTGCAGGAGCTGATTTTGGAAGAGGACAGAGTCTCCCCTTCCCCCTGTGCCGTTCCCCTGCCCTTCCCACGAGCTGAGGGCACACAGGGGGGTGAGCACGGAGCCCCAGGGCTGGGGACACCCCCGTGCTGCCCCCCCGGGCCGGGGGGCTCCTCTCTACCCGCGGCTGTGCCACCTGTAAGCACTGACCAGCCTCTGGCCCGCGGGGCTCCAGCTGCGCCGCCTCATCAGGAAATACCCGGCCAGCCCCAGGAAGGCCAGCAGCAGCCCAGATGTCACCAGGGCGATCAGCGTCCTCTGGGAAGGCTCCCGCCGGCTGCCCGTGCTCTCCTTTTTAAGGGATTCTATTCCAAACTGCGGGGAAAAAAGGAAAACGGCAAAGGGAGCGGGGAGCGGGACAAACAGGAAATGTTTGCGTCTTGCACAGGCTTCAAACAATGCTGCTGTCACCTCTTGGGGACTGCACGGCAGCCCAGCTGGGCTCTGCTGCCCTGGCAGCCCTCACAGGCTCCCTGCCAGCCTGGGGGCTCCTTGGCACAGGGAGTTCTGTGCTCTGGAGTTTGGAGAACCCGGCTGAGACCTCTGAGCTCTGCTGTTGGTGCCCTGGGCACCCCTGGGCTCAGCCCAGCAGCCAGAGGAGCCTCAGGGGCGTGCTGGGGGCAGGAATTCATTCATGCCAGCCTGCTCCTTTGGAGAAGCCGAGTGCCAGTGGCACCCTGAGGGTCACTGCTGGTCTGACCTCTGCTGAGGAGGCACTCCAGCATTCACAGAGCCATTGTGCTGGCTCTCTGGTGCTGCATTGCTGCTGCTTGGCTCCAGCCACACAATCCCAGGCTGGCTGGGACCTTACAAATCACCCAGTGCCACCCCTGCCGTGGGCAGGGACACCTTCCACCATCCCAGGCTGCTCCAGCCCTGTCCAGCCTGGCCTTGGGCACTTCAGGGATCCCTGCCCTCCTCCAGACTCAGGTCCCAGCGTGTCCCCAGCCTCAGCCGACAGCTGCAGCCCTCACCCCTCCTGCCACCTGGCCAGGCACAGTTTGCAGCCAAATTTGCTTGAGGGATTTACCTTTTCCCAGTGAGACTTCTGGAGCGTGTTCAGAAGTTTGTCGGGATCTGCAAGGTTCAAAACAGGAGAGCACATCACACACTTTACACACGTTAAATATGCTCATCCCACACATTACACACATTAAATGTTCATCACATGTTACACATATTAAATATGATCATCACACACTTTACACACATTAAATATGTTCATCACACGTTACATTAAATATGTTCATCACACACGTTACCCACATTAAATGTTCATCACACACATTACACACATTAAATATGATCATCACACACGTTACACACATTAAATGATCATCACATACTTTACACATGTTAAATGTTCATCACACACGTTACACACATTAAATGTTCATCACACACGTTACACATGCACACGTTCTGGACAGGAATCACACACCCTGCAGCTCAGGGCACACCAAGGACCCTGGCGAGCTGAGGATGCTCCTGGGGGCAGTTCCACAGCTCCAGGGGTGCAGCAGGACCCCAGAGGAAGGAGCAGAATTGCAGAGAGGTTTCTCCTGCCAGGATCCCCCCCAGCCCCTCCCCACAGGGAGCCCCTGTCCCCCTGCCCACTCCTGGGGATCCCTCACTGACCTTTCTCTCCTTTGAGGATGAGGAGCAAACAGTCCCTGTCCAGGCTGGATGGAGTCAGTTTGATCTCACAGGGGGGCTCCACGCCGTGGGTTCTATTTTCACACAGTGCTTGCCATAAATCCAATCCCTTCCTCTCCAGAAAGTGCTCCTGCCAAGTTTTCAGGAAGAGCAGCCATTAATCCAAGCAAACTGAGCAATTCTCTGCCTTGGCCATGCTGGTGGAGGTGTTGTGCTTTCCCATGTGAATTTTGGTGGCTCCTCAGTGCCCTGCAAAGCTGATTTGGGTGTCAGACCCTCCCCTCTCACTCCAGCACTGCCCAGAGCCCCAGCACCTTGGAGGTGCTCCTTTTTAATCTCTTAATTAATGAGAATAAATGATATTATTATGAAGATATTATTAGCAACTCTTGAAAATGCCATTTAAACAAAGCTAAATTTAGGCTCTGAATCGCATGGCAAGTCTCCCCAGTTTTTGGGCTGGAACAACTGAAGAGCCCTATTGTTTCAGAGTCCCAGGCAGGGGCTGGGAAAGGAGGGAAATAACAAAGAAGCATTGAGCCTTCCTGTTTAGGAAATGTCTTCAGTGTTTTTGCTAGGTTGCTGATCAAAGGCTAGGTAAAAAACCACATTTCTCACATTTTAGAGCTGCGCTGACGCTGGGGGAGGAAGAGGAAGAGGAAGAGTGAGGAGCTGCAGCCTTTGTGGGCCGGTTTGTGGATCAGACAGGATGGGCTTTCAGCCCCAGCCAGGCTCGCAGGCTGAGCCCAGCTTTGCCAAAACCCTGCTCAGCCCCCTGACCCCCCACCCCAGAGGCACAGAGAGCTGCACCGAGCCCTGCCCTGGGCTCCATCCACCCGGGGCTGTGGAAGGCAGAGCCCCCCTGTCCTGGCACGGCCTCTGTGCCCTCCTCCCCTGCCCAGAGCTGCCCAGGACCATCCCCGGCTCCCTCCATCCTCCCCAAGTGCAAAACCGCAGCAGCTCCTCCACGGGAGAACAACAAACAAATCGTTTTCAGCTGTTTCTATAGAGCTTGGCTCACGGGGGGAGGAAGGCCAAGATGGAACAAGAGACCCAAGTGTGTATTTTCCTTTCTGCGCTGTGGAAAGAACTCATCGGAGTGTCAGAGTTTCCCTTTGCAATTAGCGGCCGGTGCCAGCTGATTGCTCATTTGCCTCGGGAAAGGCCAGGGGAGACAGGGACATGGCAGGACAGATCTCCTCTGGCTCCAGCTCCAGCCTGAGCCGCCTGGTCCCGCCGGGGCTGCGGGATGGGCTCTGCTGTGGGCTGGGGGGCAGAGGGGACATTTTCCAGAGCAGAATTCCATTTTGGATGAGATGAAATGTACATCTTTGAGTTAGTCTGTAGCTTGCAAAGGTCGCTCTTTGGTCTGAGTGCCTGTTCTTGCTAAAAGCTCTGAGGAACTGCTTCAGCCGAGGGCAGAGATAAGGGGGGCAGACAGAGAGAGCAGGGCAAAATGACCCAGGAATTCTTTCTGATAAAGAAGAATTAGCTTCAAATGTGACGAGAAATCAGCAGAATGAACACGTATGAACCTATTGTGAAATCACATGCACATGTGTTTGAGGGGGAGATAAAAATCTGGAGTTCCCAGAGGCACGGATGTCATTTAGGGGGAACAAGGGGAACGATCCCCCCATGGGCAGTGCTGTAATTAACACACGTGTAATGAACACACTGTGTAATGAACACACCAGGTAATGAACACACTGGGTAACAAACACACCAGCTTTCCAACTTTCACAAAGTCGTGCAGTTTGTTTGCTTCTGCACATCAGGCAGGAGCCCCCGACAGCCCCGCAGGGAGCTGGGGGTGCCTGGGGTGCTCACGAGGAGGGAGGGCTGGGGGTGAGAGCCATGCCTGGGTGGGATGCTCTGGGTGTGCTGCACACCCATTCACCCTGGGATGCTCACAGCCCAGGGCTCTGAGGAATGTTCTAGGTGTTCTGTACACCCATTTACCCCAGGATGCTCACAGCCCAGGGCTCTGAGGAATGTTCTAGGTGTTCTGCACACCCATTCACCCTGGGATACTCACAGCCCAGGGCTCTGAGGAATGTTCTAGGTGTTCTGCACACCCATTTATCCCAGGATGCTCACAGCCCGTGCCCAGGCAGGGCAGAGCTGGGTTCCAGCTGGGATCCCAGCAGTTTCCCTCTGGGTTCCTGCTCCAGCACAGCCCCTGCACACAGGAACGAGCCTAAATGCCATTTAATCACTCTCGTGCAGCCAGGCTCGCTCAGCCTAACTACCACGGGCTCAATGACAACATTAAATTGTCTATTTTATAGATATCTCACACCCAGGGCAGTGCTGTCTCACAGGACCCAGCACCCTCTGGGGCAGGCTGTGCCTCCAGGTCTCTTCCCCCCAGCCCTGCAGACCCCTGTGCTGTTACAAATGCCCCATTTTTGGTGCTCAAGGCCAAGGCCGGTCACAGAGAGCCTGGGACTCCCTCGGGAGTTGCTGGGGATGCTGAGCAGCTCCTTGCAATGCCCTGTTTGCTTTCCTAGGCCACTTGGCAAGACAAAAAAAGGCACTTTTGTTTCCAGCAGGGAAGAGGAAGAAGAAGAACAAAGGCACCTTCCTGCTGGACGCGCTGGGAGCTGCTTCAGAAGCCGAGCTGCCCCCAGAGCTCAGAGGAAAAAAGGAGATTTGTGCAGCTGGGAGCTCACATTTCCCCTGCAACCCTGCGGGATCCTCCCCTTTGGGACCCTCCTGCACCAGCCCAGGGGGACCTGCTGGAGCCCCCCACCCCAGAGAGCCTCTGGGGGTACAGAGTGACCCCAGGGGTGCAGGGGACACTCACGCAGGTGCTGGACTCGTTGAGCTGCAGGCAGATGGCCCCGGTGTCACCCTGGTCCCTGGCACCGTGGCAGCTGATGGCACGGAGGGCAGGCTGCAAGGGAGAGAGCACAGGGGGTGTCGGTGCCCTGCCGGGGCTGGGGACAGCCCGGCCCCCCCAGGGCAGCCCCCTCCTCACCTGGGAGCTGCTGTGCAGGGCTGTGGTGGCAGCAGGGACAGCAGCAGGCTCCGGGGTGGCCGCAGAGCTGGGGGGGCCCAAGGTGAGTGTCCTGTCCCCGGGCTGGCTCGTGGGGACCCCCGGGGACCCCGGGGACCCCGGGGAGGAGCCCAGCAGTGCTGTGGAGGCAGGGCTGGGCTGGGGGCTCATTGTCTGCTGGCCAAGGAGCTCTGGTGGCGTCGGGCTGGTGGCCTCGGAGCTGGCTGTGGCTGCAGCTTGGGGGAAACGCAGAGAGAAGGGCTCAGGAGAGAGTCTGGAGCTTGTGAGCTCAGTGAGAGAGGTGACACTGGTCTGTCAGAGGCAGCAGCGGCACCAGGAGCTGCTGGCTCTCCAGGGAACGCTCATTAGCCCTGGTTCTGCTGCCTAATTACACACACCCACAGCTGGGGGACAGTGGGCTCGTTTCTGGGCCACCACGGCAAAGGTGACACCGGCCACTCCATTGTCCCCAGCTCCTCCTTGGCCCCGAGGCTTCCAGAGGAGGCTCTGATCCCAAGCAGCGCCAGGGAAAGGCTCCCTGCACCCTCCCCTCCCTTCAGAGCCCTTCAGAGCCTGAGCCCATCAGGGAACCCCACACTGGTTTGGGTTGGAATGGAAATTAAATCCCACCCAGTGCCAGCCCTGCCATGGCAGGGACACCTTCCCTATCCCAGGTGCTCCCAGCCCTGCCCAGCCTGGCCCTGGCACTGTCAGGGATCCAGGGGCAGCACAGCTGCTCTGGGCACCCTGTGCCAGGGCCTGCCACCCTCCCAGGAGACAATTCCTGCCCAAGATCTAATCCAAACCTCCCTCCTCCAGCCTAAAGCCATCCCCCTTGTCCTCTCCTCCCAAAGGGACTCCTACAGGTGCTCTCCCAACATGTGTGGACAGATAAACATCACTGAGCTCTTGGTTTTGACCAGGACGGGGCTGAGCTGTCAGGTGGGATTTTTTTGGATGGAATTAAACCTTCTGACCACACTCAGCCTCTTCTTTTCAGAGCACAAACCACACCTTAATGGCACGTGTGCTTAATAAATGTAATTATAACCACAGGAGCTACCAGCAGTGACAGAGGGAGCAAAGGCAGAGCTTACCAAAGGTTGGTTTGGTGCTGCTGCTGTCCCCTGTGGCTGTGCTGGCCGCGGTGGCAGGGCTGGCTGTCCCTCTGCTGCTGTCCCTCGCTGTTCCTGCGGGGCTGGGGGCAGCCGTGGTGCTCCCAGCAGCAAAACCTGGGGGAACAGGAGCTCTGAGGGGCTGCTGAGCCCCTGGGGAAAGCAGGAAAGGTTCAGCTGCTCTCCCAAAGTCGCTTTTTCTTGCCCCAAAAACCCCTGGGCAGGCTCAGAGGTGAAACTTTTCATCTGGCTGGTGCAGCCCTTGAGGGGCTCCAGGGTTCCCAGAGGGGGAGGAAGGCTCTGCCCTCAGCCCACCCCATCCCCAGCTCACTGGTGGATGCCCAGAGCTCTGCACAAAGCTGGATTTCAGAGCAGTTTGGGTTTCTAATCCTGGGAGGAAAGACTCAAGCCTTGGAAGAGATCACTTGTGTGCCTCAGGATAGATAAGTTGGATTTGCAGTTGCAGGCAGGATCTCAAAGTAAATAGAAACATTCCCACTGGCTTGGGCTCAGCCCTGACTCATGAGTGAAAACATCTTTGGAGGTAAAGCTGAATGTTTGGAGAGTGGTTTGCTGTTCTAACCTAAAGTTTATATATTGCTTCCTGCTGCCTTACAGAGATGACACTTCCAGCTTTCCCTTCTGGAATGAGCCGTGTGAGTCAATGAAAATGCATTTCTGCCCATTCCTCAGCTCCTCTCCCCAGGATCTATTCCCACTTTTAGCAAACAGCTCCAGTCTCTACCCCAGGGCTCTTGCTGTTTAAGATTCTTATCCAGGCACTAAAGAGAAAATCATACAGAATGTTTTGTTTCATTTGTAGCTCTGCCCAGGGGAGCCCCAGCTCCAAGAACAGTTACTTCATCCTCCCAAACCACCCTGAGAGATGGAGCAGCTCTGGCAGGTCCTGAGCAGGATCTGCAGCCAGGGAACAGCACTGGAGCTGGGCATGGGGCTGGCAGGAGCTGCTCCTGGCTGGGTCAGCCCCACAGAGCCTGGGGGGGCTGGGAAGAGCAGCAGGGGTTGGTTTGGCTGTGGTGGCAGGGACAGAGCTGCTGCTCCCGCTGTGGGAGGCTGGGAAATGTGGGGCTCAGACTGGACCTGAGGGGGTGCCCACACTGCTGCTGCCCCTCCTGATCCATCCCATCCATCCTGTCCATGCTACCTATCCCATCCTGATCCGTCTCATCCATCCATCCTGATCCATCCCATCCTGAACCATCCAATCCATTCTATACATGCTATCCATCCCATCCTGATCCATCCTGATCCATTCTATCCCTCCCATCCATCTCATCCATCCTTCCATCCCATCCTATCTTATCCATATCATCCTATCCATCCCATCCTATCCATCTCAATCCATCCTATCCATCCTATCAATCCTACCTATCCTATCCATCCCCTCCCATCCCATCCCATCCCATCCCATCCCATCCCATCCCATCCCACCCCTCCCGGGCTGCAGCTGCTCGGGGCCCAGCTGAGGGCTCAGTGCAGGTGTCTGGAGCTGGACTTTGGGTTCTGGCCCAGCTTTTAGTGCAGGGGGAGAAGTTCCTCCTCCTTCCCCAAGGCAGCTCCAGCTGGTTAAGTCACCGAGCTTTCCTGCTGACTTTGAGCAAATGAAAAGCAGAAGGCAGGAACTGCCTGCCCAGAGCAAGGAGCAGCCCAGAGGCAGAGCCAGGCTTTGGGCAGGGCCAGGCTTTAGGGAGAACCAGGCTTTGGGCAAAGCCAGGCTTTGGGCAGGGCCAGGCTTTAGGGAGAACTAGGCTTTGGGCAGAGCCAGGCTTTGGGCAGAGCCAGGCTTTAGGCAGGGCCAGGCTTTGGGCAGAGCCAGGCTTTAGGCCCAGCTCTGTCCTCTCATCAGCAGAAAATGCCGCTCCTGGCCTGACCTCGGGGTGCCACAGCCACCCAAGCACCTCTGAGCTGCTCCAGATGTTTGCAGAGCACCGGGGATTCCTCATCAAAGCTTTCAGCCCTGGCTGCTGGACTGGAGCCCGGCTGCTGTCGGTGTGCTTTGGGACAGGAGCTGTCACTCTGGATTTCTTTTTCTGGCCTTTCTTGGAGCATGTGCAGCAGCTTTTCCACACAACGTGGATGAGGGTTTTTGTGAAGTCTTTGGGCTCGTGAGATAAATAATGATCCAGATGTGGGCTGGCTAATCCACGTGGTGCTCAGCTAAAGAGGGTTATTTATTGCAGCATACATTTTTAATGGCTTTATTAAACTTTGTCAGTTTGTTAGGATTGAGGGTTTAGAGTTTAAGCCAAGCTATTTATTAACCTGGGAGAACTCTTCACCTGGCAATGCAAGCACGTGCAGGAGCAAAACCATGCAGAGATGGGAAAGAAAATTGCACTTCCCAGCCCCCATTGTGTTCACCCACCTAGGTTTAAAAAAGTAAATGAGTTTTTAAAGATATTTTAATAATGGGGCTTAGGAAGGATCTTAGATTGAATAAAGAAAAGGCAACAACAGAAATGTTAAACTTGCTCCAGACTCATCCCTGAGCACTAAGACAGGGCCACAAAAAAGCTCTGCAGTGGCAAAGGTTCAGGAAAGAGGAGGGAAATTTCCACCACTGGATCCCAACCCTGACCCACAGCAAACAGAGCTGAGGAAGCTGAGTCCCTCTGGGGATCTGCAGGACCTGCACCCCGGGCTGATTCCCCTCTGGCAAACCCTGAGCTCAGCCTGGGGCTCCTGGGGCACCTGAGACACGAGCCCGGGGCCAGGGCAGCTCCTCCAGCTCTGCCTTAGCAGGGTTTGTTCCCTGGGATGGGATGGGATGGGATGGGATGGGATGGGATGGGAGGGGATGGGATGGGATGCCCTGAGCTGGCACAGGGGCAGTGCTGGTGCCAGGGCTGCAGGGGAGGGTGAGGAGCCATGGGATGAAGAACGGGAGGGTAAAGGGACCACGGGAGGCAGGAGAGGAGGGTGTGGAAGTGTGGGATGCAGGAGAGGAAGATAAAGGGACCGTGGAATGCAGGAGAGGAGCTCTGGGGATGCTGGAAAAGGGCTCTGGGCTGAGGGATGCAGGAGACAAGTTCTGGGGATGGTGGAAAGGGGCTCTGGGCTGGGGGATGGAGGAGGAGAGCTCTGGGAATGCTGGAAATGGGCTTGGAGCTCTGGGGATGAAGGAGAGGAGCTCTGGATTGGGATGCGGAGGGGAGCTCTGGACTGGGGCATGCTGGAAAGGGGCTGTGGGCTGGGGGCTGCAGAGCCCTGGGGCCGCAGCCAGCCCCAGCTCCCCCAGCAGCCCCTCCAAGCACTCCAGCCGGCATTACTCATGCCTTTCCAGCTCCACAGCTCTCAGCCATGTGGCAGGAATTCAAGCGGGTGGAGCCCTCTTCCCTCTGGAAATATCTGATAAAAATCCCTTCCCTCCCCCTTTTCCTTGGCCCAGACAGGATGTGGGTGTGGGGCCGGGGGCGGGGGGCTGGGGGAGCCCCCCGAGCTGCCCCACCAAAGCCCAGCTGCTGCTCCCAGGCTTTCCTTGGGGCTGGGGCCTCTTGGGCAGCCCAGCACCTTCCCGGGGTTGAGATTTCTCCTGGCTGGAGCAGCAGCCTCTAAAGGATGTTAAACTCGAGCAGCTGGAAGTTTTAAAGTCTCTTTTTCCTTTCCTGATATCCAGAACTTTCACAAGAGTTGCAAAAGGAGTGGAGCAAAGAAAGAACGTGTGAAAATGGCAAGAAAAGAGATTTTTCTAAAAATCAAGATTGGCAGAGATGAATGAAAAACATATAAAAAAGAAAGATGAAAGGATAAGTGAAAGAATGAAGTGTTTTTACTAGGCACAGATACAATCCAGCCTCCCTGCTCCATGCTCGCTCTGAGAGAAGCACAGGACAGCTCTCCAAGTGCTTTATCCATCCCCAGCTTCCCAACACAAGCTGCTCACAGCATCCTCCCAGGGGCTTGGGAGGGTCTGGGAACTGCAGCCCACTCTGCAGAGCAGGGCTGGCTCTAAACCCCTCCTTGGAACTCGGGAGGAACCCCAAAGAACCCGGCAGAAGGAGCCTTTCCTGGATTTGGGGTTGGCTTTCCCTGGGGTTGGACCAGGCTGGAGCCTGGATCCTGGCTCTGGACCCCAGAACCAAGCCCCATCCTCCCCAGAGCAAACCCCACACTCAGCACATCTGCAGGACCCTGCCCTGCCCCAGTGTGGGTTTTTTTTCCTATAATCCACGTGCCCTGAGCTGCAGGTGCCCCGGGAGCAGGAGGACCCCCGTGCTCCCACCCTGCAGGAGCAGCTCCAGCCCCAAGGCACAGAGCTGGGATTTCCAGGGCACTTGCACAACTGGAGCCTTTGATGGCTTCTCTGGGACTCCCCACGGAGCTGAGGAAGGAGCAGAGCCCCGAGGATGATTTTTCCCAGCAGCTACACCGAGGAGAAACCAACCTCCTCCACCTTCCAGGCAGGAATATCCTGCAGGAATGATGGGCTGTGCAAGCACATTTTGCATAAATCATTAAAGCCCCTGCTGCCCACCAGCTTTGCCCTTCCAAAACCCGAGCTTTTTATCACTTCTATCACTTTTCCATCTCTTTTGTTTCGTACAAGGAGCTCCGGGTTTGGAACAGGAGGTTTGAAGCTCGAGGTTTGCCTCACACCTTTGTCACACACCCTCGCTCGCTTCAGCCCAGCCACACAGCCCTGAATGCCATTTTTCTCACATAAAATTGGGTTTTTTTATTTCAATTCCTTTAAAATTAACACAGAGTGGAGGGTCAGCCAGCAGCTCAGGTGAGCAATTTACCTGGGCAGCCAGGGGAACATGAAAGGAGCTCTGTGAAACAGGAGAACAAAACCCAGCCCATTCCTGCAATAGATCTCCTCGCTCACATTCGTGTGAGTAAGAAAAAATCACATTTGAGGAGACACCCGCAGGCTCCTGGCTCCTGTCCCAGCACACCAGGCAACACACAGAGTGCTGCTTCACTTTTTTAGTCCTTTTTTATTACCTCATGGCTGTTGGGTTTGGGACAAAAGTGATAATATTTCCCTAAAACATAACCCTTTCAAAAGTAACACCTAGAGAAAAATCTCGGCGCTGTTATTCATTGCTTCACATGATGAATATTTGAAGAGCTGCAATAGGAGATTTTAATATTTATGGAGACTCATTTGATTTTCAGCAAATGTTTAGTTCCAACCACAAAACAAAAGCGTGGCTCATTTACACCAGCGCGGGCTGAGAGACAGCTTGAACTGTGGCTGCACTCCCTGATAACTCCTCGTGCTATCCAGGAGTTTGTGGGGAGTTTAGATCCCCGTTCCTGTCCCTTTTAGAGCAGCAGTGAGGTTTTGGGGTGGCACAGCATCCCAAACTCCTGGAGAAGCATCTTCCCCCCAGGAGCTGCCCCAGCCCGGTCCCTGCTGCCAGCCGGGCTTGGGGACATCAGTACTCACCAGCCAGCTCCAGCAGGCAGAGGATGCAGAGGAGCTGCCTCCACTCCATGGCTCTGGGGGCTCGCAGGCAGCGTTCCCTGCTCCGGGCTGCTCAGTCCCGCAGCAGCTCTGAGCTCATGCAGCTTGCTCGCAGTTCAAGCCTTTGAGATCACTCGCTGCTGGGGTGGGTTTCTCTTCAGGGGTTGTGCTTGTGCTTCAGGACTGTGAGGTGGAGTTTCTCGGCTTTGATTTCCCAGTTTTATATAGTTCATGGCAAGCTCACTATCACTTAGGTAATTTTCTCCTCCCCGCTTTCCTGCCAGCAGCTTCAAAACAAACAAAGGATCGGCCCTCTCCCCAGCAAAGGATCCCAAAGGCTCGCTGGGATTAACTCTTTCCTGAGAGCTGCTGCTTTCCTGTCCAAGGAGGGCAGGACACAGCCTGGTCCAGCTGGATGCAGGGACACAGCCCAGCCTGCAGCTGAGCTCCTTCAGAGCAAAGCAAAGCCAGCCCGAGGAGAGCAGAGCTCTGGGGAAACCCAGGTCCAGCCCAGAGAGCCCCAAGCGTGGTCCTGGCGCAGTGGAAAACAGGGGAATGCTGAGAATGGGCTTCAGAATCAGAGATTTTCTCAGCAAATTAAGCAGGGAACTCAAGGATGTGAAATCATGACTGAGCTGAGGAGAAGTAACTCCATTAGCTGCACTAAATTAAACAGGGAGCACGAGTGAGATGGGTTGGAGAAGGTCTGGGGCACAGAAAAACCCACAGGCAAAAAGCTTTGGCACTAAACCTGGAGCAGGAGCAGGATGGGAGAGCAGGAACTTCCCCGAGCTCGTTAGGAATGCTTTGTGGGAGCCTTGGAGCAGCGCAGAGCTCGGGCTGCAGCTTTATTGCCAGCTGAGCCTCACCAAGTGGGAAACTTGGCTCAGCTTCTGCACTGCAGACACACGTGGGAGCAGCTCAGGAAGGGCAGCATGAGGGATGCTCTGTGTCCCCACAGGGATGTCCGTCCTGGAATGTTCCAGGCCAGCTTGGAGGGGATTTGGAGCAGCCTGGGACAGGGGAAGGTGTCCCTGACCATGGCAGGGGTGGAATGAGAGGATCCCTAATATCCCTTCCAACCCAAACCAGTCTGGGAGTCAAATTATGGCCTTTGGGTATTAAAAAAATAAGAGGCGAATGCTTGGGAAACAACTGCAGTTCAGTATTAATTCCATCTTTTTTGTAGCTGGATGATGAGGTGACTAAAGGAGTCATTGGGAACAGGAAATTGAAAAATGAGGTGGACAGGAAAGAAAGCTGTGGAAAGAAGGATGAGGAAGCTCTTACTCAATGTATTCTCTTTTCCTGGATGCTCCTGTAGCACTTCTGCAGTCACAGAGTCACAGGAACTGCTCTGGGTTTTAAGGGACCCAAAACCTCATTGGATGCAGGCAGGAATGGCCATCATTTGGCTGCAGCCAGAAAAGGATTAAAAAACACACAAAAAACCCCAGGATGGCGTTACCTACAAAGAAATCCTCAAATAGTATTTCCACATTTATTGTAGGACAAAATTCCAGGAGCTTTTGCTTTTAGCATAGTACAGGAGCTGGATGAGATGATGTTTAAATGTCCCTTCCAACTCAAAGCCTTCTCTGATTCTGTGGCAGGAAAATGTTTCTTGGAAGGAAACATCTGTGGCTCAGCAAAGGGCTCCAACGTCTATATAAAGATTTCTATTATGTTCAGTAATCTATTACTGACTGACAGGGACACACAGCTCTGTGAAAGGCCAAAATATCCCGATAAAAAGTGGTCTAAAACCTGAGTGTGGGCACAGCCCTGCTGACTCCAGCAGCTCCCACCAAGAATTTTCCCTTTTTTCCCCTTTTTCCTCCCTCAAACACACACACACACATTGACTCAGTGTGTAACCACGTTTTACATTGCATGTCAGCCCAGAAAATGAATTCAGAGATGAAATGTGAAAGGCAGAGTGAGACAAGAGTCTTATTTAAATAACAGATATGTTTTTGTCTATGAAAGTGAGAATTTGGGTTGAATAACACGACTGAAAATCAGAGTGATGGATCCACGGAGGAGTTTGGGTTGGGAAGGCCACCCCCCTGCAGCCCTGCTGTGGACAGGGACACTTTCCACAGCCCAGGCTGCTCCTGGGTAAAGAAACCAACGGGATCATCCAGGTCTGGCTGCTGGGTTTGTTTCACCTTTCCAAACCAGCCCAGAAATAGAGAGCTGGACTAAAAATAGGCCGAGGCTGGGCCTGGCAGGCACCGTGCAGGGGAAGCTGTGGGTTTGGTTTCCAGTGGAAGCTGCTTTGGGTTGGAAGGACATTCCCTGTGTCAGGGATGTGGGATTTCATTCCTGTTTATGCACTGCCCGTGTCAGACCATCCCACAGAATTCCCTTTGGAGAGTGGCTCAGCTAAGCACAGGGAAATCCAACATTTCCTCAAAGGAAGAGCCACAAACCCACAGAATAAGTGACTTATTAAGATTATTCTTTACGTGAATGCACTGTCCTCAGAGCATTCCCGTGGGCAGATCTAGGGGTGCTTCCATCCATCCTGGCCATTCCTGTGGCACAGGAATTGCTGTGCTGGGCACACGGGGTGGTGGCACTGGGACCCTGCTCCCCCCTCAGCTGACAAAAATCTGGCCCAGCCTAGCACAGAGCAGGCCAGGCTTTGTTTGTGGGTGTTTCTGTGCACACAGCTCTCAGAATATCCCAAATATCCCAAATATCCAGCTGTGACCAGGCCCTCCATTTTTTTTCTTGATTCCATGAGTGGGAGACACCTTTTCTATGGATACAACTGAGCGTGTTGAGGGCAATCCTTCAGAATGATTTCCTTTCTCTCAGAGCCCCGACACATTTTTATAGGCAGAAACTGCAAGCCCACAATAAGGAACATGGCCTTGAATTATCTCACAGCACTCAGCATCAGCTGTATCAGGTTAGCAACGCCTGAGCCAATTCCAGCCCAACATTTAGGGGATCAAGTGTCCAAATTTTGTGCAGCACGGCGATGGAGGCTCGCTCACACGGGCTGGGATTTTGTCCAAGCCTTTAAGGGTGATTTAATTTAATTGTGAATGATGCAATAGACATATGGCTGGGAAGCTATATGCCAGGAAACATGTTTTCTATAAGTATTTTAGCAGGCAGATGGCACACAATGGTTTTGGTGCAGTCATTTCCTCACCTCTTAAAAGTTACTATTTGGGACAGATGAAATAATCCCATTCCCACCATCCTCCCCAGGCAGCAGCACTGCTGACCCAGGGGATGTGCAGTGTTTGATAAACAAACAAACACATAAATAAATAAATCAGCCTTGCACCCACCTCCCCAGTGCCACTCGCGGGTTCCAAAGCATTTTAATAACTTTTCTACTTCAACTGGAGCGAGCAGAGCTCCCCACAGCACTTCCTGAGGCACCTGGAGGCACTTGGAGCAGGACCACACCACAGGGAGACCCCAAAAGACACAAGGTCTGCATCCCAACCCTCAACCCCATTCCCAGACAGAGCAGCTCCTTCTGGAAATGTCCCTGTCCTACATCCAGCACACCCAGCCCAAAAACTGCTGGAGGAGGAGAGGCTGCAGGAGGAGATCCAGCTTCTGGAATGGTGGACAGCCACAGCACAGCTTGGAACTGCAGATAAAGTGGGATTTAGTGCAGTTTGGGTTGTTTGTTCTAGGAAAATGCTGTGGGGATCACATCTGCTTTGGGGCAGCACCAAATCCTGGTCCTGTGGTTCCTGGGACCTTTGGTTCTCTGCAGGAGAACACAAACTCTGCCTGAGCAGGCAATTCCTCAGGGATGGACTGATGGGATCCAGTCCTGAGGGATGGACTGATGGGATCCATCTCCTGAGGGATGGACTGATGGGATCCATCTCCTGAGGGATGGACTGATGGGATCCATCTCCTGAGGGATGGACTGATGGGATCCATCTCCTGAGGGATGGACTGATGGGATCCAGCCCCTCAGGAATGGACTGATGGGATTCACCTAAAAAGGGGCAGAGAGCCCCAAAGCTGCCCTGACAGCATCATCCTTGTTGAGATTTCCTTAAACCTTGTCACCCATTGGCTTTGTCGTGCTGGGATTTGCATGGTGGTTTAATTTCTACACCAGGTTGTCCTGAGGAGCCCTGGCAGTGCCCTCCTGCCCAGGAGGGTGCTGGGGAGACTGGGATGTGCTAGAAGTTTCCCTGAATCCTTCTTTTTTTCTCCTTTAGGCATTCCCAGGACTCCAGTGAGAGCCATTCCCCCCCAAACACCTCACCCACCTTTTGAGGCGTTTTTTGGGTGAGTTTCAGGGCTGTTGATGGATTTTCTTGTCCCCTCAGCTGTGCTTTTGCTGTGCTGATGAGGAGATATCATCTCCACGGATGGACCTCCTTCTTCCCGTCCCAGACCCAGGAGGGATTCCATCCCAGGACAACAAAGGGCTTTATTTAGCCCTGGAGCTGGGGCAGCCTGGCTGGTTTCCTGCCTCTGCTGCTCCGACTGTTTCCAGGTCACTGCAGCGAGCATCTCCCGGCTCATCCTGTGCCAGAATTCCATTTTTCCCACCCAAACCCCTTTTCCTGTGGCTGGGAAAAGCATCTCCTCCCTGCAGGCTGCCGGGTCTGCCCCTTCTCCCCTTGTTTTTGGGGGAAATTCCTCCCGGCTCACTCCCCCTCCTGTGCTGCCTCAGGAGGATGTTGCTCTGGGGAAGATTTCATGGAAAAACGCTCAAGTGGATTGATTTCCATCACAGCCTGCTCCTTCCAGGGGTTAAGAGCCGCGAATGACACGTGTGACAAACGCCAATCTCTTGTTTAAAATTGTTAAAAATTTAATAATAATAAAATTATAAAAATAGTAATACATTAGAGTAATGAGAATTTGGACAATCAGAGTTAGGACAATAAAAGAGTAAAGAATTATGAATGTTTGGGTGCTTTCCTCTTGAAAGTGTGGCTGCTAACAAAATATTAACCTTTAAAAGCAACAGCCTGTTGCATATTCATACCTCTCATACACGATTGTGAATCCTTTTTAAACTAGAGTTTTTTTTGGTTATTGTTAACTTCCCCCCCTCATCTTGTAAATGAATTGTCTTGGTCCCTCAAAGTCTGGTCCTTCCCAGAACGGAGGTAATAACTCTTAGTTTGGGATTTTGGTGTCTTGTTGCTGTTATCTCTGTGTGAAGAATTTCTTTATTATCTTGTCCATCCCTTGAGCTGCTTAGAAAAGCATCTTACACTGCATAGTTCCTATTTTAATATTATCTTAGAACTTAAAACTGTATTTAACACGCTATTTAAAAGGATTAATGCA